TTTACTTTATTTTTTTTTGATTTAATAGTATTAATAATTTTCAAGATTTCATTTTTAATTAAATTAATTTCAAAAATAAATTCTGATTCAGAGTTAGATCTAGAGTTAGAATCAGAATTAGATTTATTATCAGAAGAATTAGTATTAAAATCTGATGAAGAATTTAAAGTAATGGTATTAATCTTATCTTTTTTTTTTAGATTTACTCTTGCTAGAATTGTTCTTTTTTTTATTTTTTGAATATTTACAAGAATTTGAATAATATCTAGTTTTATAGTAATTTAAATAATGATATTTAAATAATTTATTAACTATATTAATACCTACTTCAATATCTTTTGCTATAATTTGATTTATTAATAATTTACTTATATAATTAGTCAAATCTTTATCTGAGTTAACTTTATATTTTTTTGATCTTTTTTCTTCATTTTTCTTTGACATGAACTAGCTATTAGTTAAGAACTTATCTAATAATTTTTTATAAAGATTATTAGCTATAGATTCTATAATTTAACTAGTTAAAGAAATTGAATTTATAATATTAATATAAATATATCTTTCAAAATTTATCTTATATTTATCTAAAAATCTTTCTGACATATAATTATTTGATATTCTAGAATAATTATTAAAATTAGATTGTCTTTGCTAAGAATATTAAACTGATATTTGTTAAGATTATAATACTATCATAGATTTTATATAGTTTTTAATTTCATCTATTATATTTATATTATTTAAATAATTATTCTTTTTATAACTTTTATTAGATAATATTAAATCTGAATTTGAATAAGCTTCAGATAATTATTCTGCTATATCTCTTAATTTTTTCAAGTTTTAGAAATAACTTATCTGAAGTTTTTTTAATTTTTAAATAATAAATTTCTATCTGATTAGCAGGTAAAAGTTCATAAAGAAATTGTAATTGAATTTGTTATTTATTAATATAAATAAGTCTAGCTAATCTATATAAATTAGAATAAAAATAACTAATTGAATCACAGTTAAATCAAAAAGTATTTATTATTTCTCTATAATTATTATAGAATAATTAGTCTTAATCTAATATAATATCTGTTCAAGTTAAATATTAGTTATAATTATAATATTATCTGTATTAATATTAGATATATTAGATAAATAATCAGTTAAATATCTATCAATAAAAGACTAATTTTTATCAAATACTATATGAGCTAGAATTACAATATTATCAGCTTATTTATTTGTCTAATTTAATACTTGTGTATCTAACTAAACTGCTATTTATTCTTGAACTATATCTAAATTAGCTTGTGCTATATTATAAAGTAAATTTCTCAATTCACAATTTTTTCTATAAATAGTTCTTTCATATTAATCTTTAGTATTTTCTTTGAGAAATATTATAAAAATATTATAAGTATTAATTCTATTAGCATGACCAGTATTTATATCTATTTTAGAATCTAAATTTTTTAATATATTCTTTAGAATCTTTAATAGGATACCTATTAAATTTTTTTAATTCATAATTTACTATATTTGTTTGATTATTATTTATAAATAAATTATTCTAAAGCATAAAAATTTACTAATTTAAATTTAAAATTAATTACTATAAATTATACTCTCTATTTTTTTATTTGATATGACTTACTTTTTGATTCTTGAATTTATTATAATATCTATTGAAAAGCTAATTCCAATTATATTCTAATAATTCTTTATCAACCTGGCATTATTATAACTATCTTTTCAATTTCTAGTTTACTTATCTATTCAGAAACTATAATATAAATTATTTATACAATAATGAATTAATTTATCTATCTTTTTAAGTTTTAATATAGATAGCATTCAACTTCTAAAAATTACAAGATCTTTCTATATTTTCTATATGATTTTGTAAAGTATCATATTCTTATATAAGTTAATAATTACGGTTTTGTAAAATAATATCATTTTATATAAGCTGATTAATATGATCTTGTTAAAGTTATTAAGTTATCTATATCTGTTAATATTCTATTGTAATTGTAATATTTGATTATCTTAATCATTTTAATGGATAATAATATTATTTATATTCTGATATGTAAATTAATAATTATATTAAATAGTATTTAAAAAATTTCTAATACTATTTATAATATTGATAGAATTATTTAATAATATTCTAACTTCTTTAAGATAATTTTTAATATAATTTAAGTCTTGATCAATTTGTATAATAGAGTTAAGATTTATCATATTATCCTGTTCTTTTAAAAATTGAGTATATAAATCTAGCAAGTTTTTTCTCAAAGAAATAATTTTAATCTTTTTATTAAATATATTAATATTTTCTTGAAAAATTACTAATTACTCTTCCAGGTAATCTATATATTTCTCTTGATTTATAGAAGTTTGAAGTACTTTTTTTAACTAAGATTTAATATCAGATATTTATTAATATAATAGATCTAATTTCTCATTATGAATTAATATCTTCTTCTCAAGAAATTTAATATAAACTTTTTTAAATCTAAATCTTGTTGCAACTTTCAAAACTGATTTTTTATTACTAATAAACTATTTTTAAATTACTTAATTCTTAATAATATTATTAGAATTACTTTTATACAAATCCAGATATATTATCTTATCTTCTAACTTTATTAAATATAATTTTTTACTATAATAAAATATATCAAAATGAGTCAAGCTATCATATATATTAACTCTAATAAAGCTTGTGATATTGAAAAAAATCTTATATTACAGGAATTATATTATTAATCTATTAAATATTTCTCTAATATAAAAGTATTAAGAGATACATATTAGAGAAAGAGATATAAATTTAAGCTTTTTAAAATTAAAAAATGACTTATAAATCAAAGTATATAGCAAATATATGCATCATTTCCAAAAGATATTTCCAGAATAAGTTATGATAAAATTTTATATCCTAATTATATTTATATATATAATCTTTTATTTCTTATTTATTATTATTATAAAGGTAAAAAATGGATAATAGTGCTTAATATAATAGATATGACTAGCAGATTCAAAATATTAATTCTATTAATATTGAAAAAAAGTTTAGAAATTACTAAGATATTCAGAAAAATTTATAATAATTATCAAAATTCTCTTTCTTATTCTTGATTATTATAATATAATAATAGTTATAAGTAGATAAATAAGATAAGTCAAATAATAAAAAAGCATAATATAATAATTCAAGTTATTAATTTATACTCTTATTATAAAATGATAATTATAGAGAGATTCAATCAGATACTCTTGAAAATTCTCTATAAAATTCAATATATTATTAAAAGTAAAACTCAAGATTCTAGATTACTAGGAATATAGATTAAGTATTTACCAAAAGTAATTAAATATTTTCATAATTATTCTATATATCTTATTAGAATTTCAGATTTATTGAAATAAAGTTTAGTACTTAAGCTGGCCATTCAATTAGAATAAGTAGAATCTAAACTATCTATAAACTATAAGTATCTCATTGAGAAAAATAAAAAGAATAAACTACAAAAAGATAATATTATTTGTTACTTATTAGTCAATGAGGAATAGGAAGATTCATCAAATTTAGAAAATTGCAAAAGTATTGATCTCATATAGAGTTCTTCATTACATAAAATCTGAAAAATTATGATAATAAAGAATAAATTAGTTTTTATATTATCTTGAAAGTAGTAATAATGAATATTTACCAAAGTGAAGATTTGTAAGAGAAAAGCTCATGCATGTATTTTCAGAAAAAATTAAGTATTTATCACAAAGTATATTAAAAGAAAACACTTGCTTCAAATCTGTTAATTTCATTCATGCTATTAATAAAATAACTAAAGTTGTTGCATATGCTAAGAAGTATAATGGAAAATATCTTGATAAAACTGGCCAAATAAATGATTTCAATATATATCTCTGGTTTTGTGAAAATGAAAAGCATCAGTAAGAATATCCATATCCATTAATAGCTATGAAATTTGAATGATGCTTCTTATGTTATCATATCAATGAGTGATATTATAGATATATTTTTGAAGATCTGTAAGAAATTTCCATTATGTTTGATCTTATTTTTGGAAAAATTACAACTCGATGAATATAATGAAGAGCTAAAATTAGCATGGGAATATAATGATGTCAATACTATAATCAGAATAGTTTATATCACAAAAATTGAGATGATCTAGATAAATAAAGAAAACAGAATCAAAAAAAGTGGAAATTATGCAAAGAGCAAGGCATAGATCTTATTGAAATTCCCTATGACTCAGATATACTACCATATATAAAAAGCAAATTGCAAGAGAAGGACTATTTATCACATAAAGAATAATCCTGCAAAAATCATTGTTTTTCAATATAATAATTAGTGACTTAGCTTGATCATGATGAAAATAGAAAAGCTTGATCCGGTTGAGAAATTTGTACACAATATAGATGAATACAAAAATTCAGAGAAATATAACAGCAAGAACTCAACACCTCAATGGCCCTTTACAATCTTATTTTCAGGACGGACCAATACAGGAAAATCTACTGAAGTTGTTCACCTTTTGATTGGAAATAAACTATATAGAATGTTTAATGGTAAAAAAGGAGGCACTAGATATATTAAGTGTGATGATGTTGTGCTTATTGGTTATTATCTCAAAGAGCCAAAATATATGTTCCTTAAATCAGCATTTCAGATAATCGCAAATAGTCCCGAATCACATCGTGAAGATATTACATTTCGGACTATAAAGCCAGATAAAATTCCAAAGCCAGATTCATTCTCACCTGAAAGAGGTACAGTGGCTATATTCGAGGATGTATGTACCGAACCAAAGAAAATTCAAGAAAAGATTATACCTTATTTTACCGAGGGACGTCATTCTAATGTTTCTTCGATATATGTCTCCCAAAGCTATTTTGACTGCCCAAAATTAATAAGAAAAAATTTAAAATACGTTGTACTCTTCAATGGGAGTTGTTCTTCAGAGGAGCTAAGCAGAATACTCCGTTTATATGTTAACGATTGGCGCAGTATCTATAAAATTGTTAATAAGCATTTATGTGAACAAAAGTTATTGTCTTCGATTTAAGTGTAGCCCCTGAGCATCCACATAGAATACGTGTTGGTTGGGATACACCTATTTCTCAACTTGATGAATAGATTGAGCCTCCAGAGTTGCGAGTATTTTTTCTGCTTTATGCAATTTAATTTTTTGTTGCTCGATTTCATTACGTAATTTATTATTAGTATTAACCCGTTCCTCAAGCTGTTTAGTAATTTCTTGCATAAAGGAGCCAAATGTTTTTTCATTGTATTCAAGCAATTGTAGGGATAAACTATCTAACTCTTTTTTAACTCGAGTATTGATTTCCTCCTCATGATCACAAATCGGGTCAGTATTTTGGGTTTGAGTTTCTTGATCGGGCGTATCTGTATTATATAAGGAATTTTTCACTATAGGCCAGCTTTTTCGTTGGTATTTTAATTTTTTCTGATATCTATTAACTTCATGTCTTAAAAATGATTCGACTAATGGGTTTACTGTGCTGGCTTCATTTTCTGTCATTGGATTTTGTTTAATAAAACAAGAATTAAAAGTAAGATAATTATTAAAAAATAATACAACTGCTAACCACAATGACTAATAAATTATCTTTAAATGATGCAATAAAAATAGCTGAATCTCAAGGAGGACAATGTCTTACCAAAGAGTATATCAATAATGAAACTCCAATGCTATGGGAATGTAGTAAAAACCACCAATGGATTGCTCAATTTCGTAATATTAAAAATCAAAGATTCATGGTGTCCAGATTGTAGTCACAGAAAACCTCTTAATCTTGAAATTGCTAAACAAATAGCATATGATAGAAATGGAGAGTGTCTTTCAACATCTTATGTAAATAGTAGAGAGCCTTTAAAATGGAAATGTTCTAAAAATCATATTTGGTATACAAGTTTAGGAAATATAAAAAATCAAGGCACATGGTGTAGGCTATGCTCACAAATCCGAAGTCATAGTATTGAAGATTGTAAAAAATACGCATCTAAAATGAATGGAGAATGCCTTTCAACCGAATATAAAAATTGTAATACTAAACTATTATGGAGTTGTGCAAAAAATCATAAATGGTATGCAACTTTTAAAAATGTAAACAAACGTAATAATACATGGTGTCCGTATTGTGTATGCAACGTTCGATATACTCTTGAAGATGTCAAACAAATTGCATATAATAGAAATGGAAAATGTCTTTTAACCGAATATAAAAATTGTTATACTAAACTATTGTGGAGTTGTGCAAAAAATCATAAATGGTATACAACTTTTAATAGCGTTAAAAATGGCAACTCATGGTGTCCATATTGTGCGGGCCAAGCTAAAAATACTCTTGATATTGCTAAAATGATCGCATTTAATAAAAGTGGGGAGTGTATTTCAAATAAATATATTAATGGTAAATCCCACTTACGATGGAAATGTGTCAGAGGTCATAAATGGAATTCTTCATTGGCAAGTATTAAAAATGGTAATACATGGTGTCCCTATTGCTCAAAATATAAACGTGAGAATCTATGTCGTGAAATTGTATCAAAATATTTAGGGAGCCATCAAAAAATCGTAAACCTGATTTTCTAAAAAAACCTGAATATCCTCAAGGATTAGAACTTGACATTCCATATTATGATTATGGTTTTGCTATCGAAGTCCAAGGAGAGCAACATGAAAAATATAACAAATTCTTTCATAGAGGAGATCCGAATAATTTTATCAAACAGCAAGAGCGGGATCAACTCAAGAAAGAATTATGCGAAGAAAATTGGATCGTTTTAAGATATGTTTGGTATTACGAAGACCCATATATAGTTATTCCAGAACATCTTCGAGAATTGGGTCTTATTGACTAAATCTAAAACTTTAAATATTCATAATGATTAAGCAATAAAATCTCAAGTGCATTATTTTTGTAACGCATAATATGATATATGTAAAAGCAAAAACCCGGAATTTTATTAGCTTGACATTATTGATTGATATAGTATCACTTCACAGAATAAAAATATGTAATTTAGCGTATGTTAATTATTCGTTAGTATAGGTAACATCAAGGACGTTGTTTATTTCATGTCATTTTTATCATTCTTAACCATATTAATGACGTTTTTGGTGCTTTTTTTTCTTAAATTTTTTGTTCTTTCTCTTTTCTGTGGTGGTGTATACATCTGGGAAAAAATGAATACAAGTAAAAATATCAGTAAACAATGAACATATTGCCATAAAATTTTTTTTGCATACGTACGTTCAGGTGGTGGTTCGAACTCATATACAATTCCATCATCCTCCACAACCCAGAACTATTTATCTTTTCCATGGTTCAATTTCACCTCTTCCAAAGAATCTCCATTGGCCACAAAACTTGCATCATATCCTCCCACATAAATACACGACCATAACAGTCTAAAAAAATCATTCCATAGTTAATCTCCCCAATAATAATAATGTGATCGAAGCCGAATTTTGCAACCCGCTGAATATAAAATTCAAGTTCTTTTGGATCATCACCATCATTAGGAAGCTCACAGCCAATGAAAGATGCAAGATGACGACGGTCGGACTCGTTTGCAAATGTATCAACTACCACAAGTTTATTTGTGCAAAGTGCTTCATCTTGTCCTTCACATTTTGACACCTGCAACATGGATTCATGACTTTCGATTGTCCTCCTAACTTCTTGGGTAGGACAAGGGTGCGCGAATACAAAACAACACGGTTTCGTCGGGATTTCCGTTGTCCACGTAACGTCTCCCATGGTACCGATTCTGAACAATTTCCCAAAGGATGTCTGCAGTTCGCCAATTGTTCTTTGGTTAGGGCATGCTTCGAACCCAATTGTAATATCTTTATTGTTTTTACTCTCGATGCTGGCGCTTCCTTGTTCGCTGGTCTGCAACGAATCGACGCACCGAACATGAACCTCAATATTTTCCCTTTTCGTTTCGAATATGTGAGATTTACTGTTCGAGGACGGTACAATTGAGTTGGTTCCATCTTTACTATCTTCTCGGCTAAGAGTTTCAGACCCATTGCAAAGTATTCGTTCTGCTCTTGTAGCGTTGCCTTCCGAGGGGGTCGGCTGATATAGTACGTCCAAAGAAGGCATATTACGTCCCACACTGTTATCAATAAAATCGGTCGACAACAAGGCGGGCCTACTTTCTTGCCTTCCGGGCCGAATGGGGTCACAATTCTCTCTGGTGATCTATGCAAAAAAATTGGTTTGTTGAATATGTTTGAAGACAATTTTTCTGTGCAAAAACTTTACCTGAATGGTTGCACAAATTCTATTATAAGCACTCTGCCATTGTTCTCTAACAGAACAACATTTAGTTCGCATCAGTGTTGCTGACTGGAATACTGGAACTCCATTGGACAATTAAAATGTTCCAGTGTTCCAATGGTTCCAATGAAGATTTTCATTGGAAGAATTTTGCCACTGGAACTCACATGATATTAACCAATTAAATTTTAATAATTGATAATATAAAACTATTCTTCGCTATACATATAATCTGGTTTCTGAAAAGCTAAACTAAATATACTACCAAGTTCCTATTTTGCATTATTATTGACAGCTGGATGCTGATAACTACTTAACAAATCACCTTCTATATTATTTTGATTTTCATCTTGTTCTGCTTCCTCATCTTCCATATGTATAACCTCTTCTTCAACCAATATCTGTTCCTATTCAACTAATTGATTATCCCATTCTTCAGATGATATATAAATGGTTTGATCATTTTCATGTTCTAATTCGATAATATTATTAGAAAATATCTCATAGTCTTCATCAAAACCTTCTGAATATGATATAGATTCGATTGGCAATGTATTTGTATTCTTATAAATCTCGTCATATTTTTGATTTTGTTTTGTTCAATAAGAATAATTAATCGATGCCCGAATTTAACTCATTAGAAAAACCTTTTCATTCTACAAAAAACATTAATTTTGTTAAATTAGTATTATAAAAACTCTATAAATAAAATATTATTTATTTACCTGAAGTTGATTTCATTGAATTGTATGTAAAAAATCCATTGAACTCCATAATCACTCAACAGAGGCAGCATTAATACAGATTCCAAATAATTGGACAGCAAGTGAACCTAATTCTCTAGTAGAACTAGTTGCAAATTCCCAAAATCCCAATATATTTTTTTCAAATTATTCATAAGTGGCAGGATCAAAAGGATATTTTCATTTTCTATAATCTTCTAATTCAAGAAGAATATAAATTGGTCGTCATCCAAACCAAGCTTTGTAATAATAAGTAATATATTGATCAAGATAGGTAAAATTAAGGTTTTCTGTATTGGCTACAAACTAATAATCATGAATATATAGATGTAAAAGGAATGACAAAAGTAATAAAGGTTGTTCCTATTATTTCCATCTTTGTTCTAATTGTGTAATTATATGACGAGAAAGATCCTGATCTGAGTATTCTTGCCATAATTGTAAGATACCTCCAAATGCTTGCAAAACTTCATAAAGTCGGACAGTATCAGATTGTAATTTGTTAAGTGCTCCACAATAAGAATGAAGTAATTCTTGAAGTTTTGCGATTGTTTGTCAAAAAGTATCATTAAGTAAGATTTTTGTCAGATCATGGGACAAGTAAAGTTCATCCAATAATATAGTTATTTGTTCATTTTCAATAGATAATTCATAGACAATAGTGAGATTTTAAATTTAAAATTAATTAGATAAATTTTTAGTTTTTTAATAATAACAATATTATATTACTCACCTATAATGCTTGCCAAGACTTGATTAAACTATTGAAATAATAGTAATATGAATTCCAATGTGTGTCACCAGGGCAGATTAAATTGATATACTTTGAATAAACTTGCATTTGAATATCTCTTAGTTTCGTAATAAAATAGGAATGTAATACATTATTGAAGTATAATATCATAATTATTACTTCCTTTGATGTATTTTTAAACTCGGCAGATTCTTTAAAGATTTCACCAAATGTCAAATTACATTGGTGATCAAAGCAAGGAAGAAAAATGATCTTAGGATATTTAAGTTGAAGATGTCATCTAAAAAAATAAATCAGAAATTAGTTTAATAATTTATCAAGATAATTAAAAAATTATTCTTACCTGGCACTAGCATATGCTAAAGCACTATCAGAAACAATAGCATTTAATTTAGCTCCAATATTATCTGCCTCTTTAATCAACTTTTCAATTTTTGGAACTATTTCAATTGTTTGTTCTCTTTCAATACTTATATCACTTGTTTGCTATATCAAAACTTCACCTGTTGATAATATAAACAATGCACCAAAAAGGTATTGTTTTATTATATTCTTCCAACTGTCAAAGGCCAAAGTAACTCTAATACTATCTTCTTTCAATTTTTGTTCTCTTGACATTGAAATGCTATTTGTTTCAGCTCTTAAAATCCAATTGGATAAAGCATCTCATTCAGGAAGAGTAAGATTTGGATTGAGAAATTCGAAAAATTCTAAAGTAGCTGGATTGTTTGTCCATTGGAATGCCTAGCCATTTGATATCATCATACAAAGCAAGAGTTTTTCAAACTTAGGTTTTTCTTTTGCCATAATATTTCTCACAATAAAGTTTCCCATTATATTGGATGATTTTGAACTTGATTTTTTTCGTGAAAAGGTAGAAGAAGAAATAGAGGAGTGTATGGTAGTTGTAGAAGTCGTAATCATAGAGGCATTATCACTTGTATGATTTTCATCTTCATCTGGTAATTTAAATAAAAGATTAGTATTTATCAATAAATTATGTTATTAAATTATTAATAATCTTTTTATTACAAATACTATTTTGTTTGTATCTTTTTGCTTGCTAAGATTTACTTTGAATTGTTTCTTCTTCATCATCAGTTTGGTAGCAATATAATGTTATTACTTCTTTCGACTCTAGCTCTTGATGAAAGTATTCACATTTCTTGAGGTGGTTATGGATAATATTTTTTTTATTTGTTATGGAATTTTTTAGAACTTTCTCGTGGCCAAGAGCTTTGTCACATGCATTGCAAATCGAAAAAGTATTGTGCTTATTCATCTTTTTTATACCGATTACAGTAATATTCTTAGTAAACCTATATTTTGCCACGTCACCTGAGTGTGGTCGTGACATTTTTTTTATTCAAACAGCGTGAATTTTTATGATATAACATTATTATTAGAAGTTACTGGAAGTCATTGGAAGCACTGGATATCTTCCAGTAGGTCAAAAATATCTGATTGGAAGAGTCCAGTGACAATACGTCATTGGAACATTTCTGTATTGCACAAATATTCCAATTGCTTCCAATAATCTTTCAGTTCTAATAATTATCACTGGAACATTCTATTGACAATACTGGTTCGCATAATATAATGCACAAAGCATATTGATATCATTATACTGTTATCAAAAATTATTTGGTGTTATACCAATATACATAAGAGATTTATAATTTGGTTAAGGTTCAAAGATATTATTTTTCAGTCATATCAATATCAAATACATCTTATTTGCCACTTCTATCAAGAAGCTGATCGTCTCCAGCTGATTTGAAGTTTAAGTAGGTGTAAAGTATAGCTATTACTTCACAATAAAAAATAACAAGCATGATCTATTATCTATATTAGGAATTTTTGTGATCTATAAAAACAGGTTGACATATAAAAATCAAAGTAAAAAATATTATCAGCTTTCCTTTAGAAAAGATAATGAAATAAAGTCTAAAGTACTAGCCCTCAGGAATACCTCAGATAATTTTATTCCTTTTTCCTCTCATGTTTGAAAAAAGATGTGTATTATGCTTCAAGCTCTAAAAGTCGCTTTTGAAATCTAACTCGCAATTGACTCTTTTTAGAACCTATCCAATCATATGGAATATAATATTCATCATAATATCTATTAGACACCATGCATCGATCTTGATATTTATTATACTTAGCAATTTCCTTAGTAAGACGAAACTCAAACTGTTGACGAGTTATAGGATTTTTTATTTTGCGAGGTATTATACCTAGAAATTTCTTATCCTCTGAGGTACCATCATTCAATAAATTATTCCAAGCAAGTTTTGCATTTGATGGTACACTTTCCCTAAATTGTTTCCAAGCATTTTGAATAATTCTCGCATATCCATCCTGAGATTTAGGTTTATTACATTCCTGATCCCAATGTTTTTGCATCAAGTCTTCTGACTTGATAATTTCGACCTTTCTTCTTCTAGCATAATGAAATTTCTTTGTTGATTTTACATTATCAATATGAATAAGCTTCATACAATCTAGACATATCACCACATTGGCCTTATGAATTCTAGATCTGTAGTAAACATGATCTATGAATTTACCCTTACCAAATTCTAGGAATAGAGCATGTACATGGTAGATACTTCTTTTCCACTCAGAGACCAGCTCTTGTAAAGGAACTCTGATCCGAATAGTTCATTACTTTAACATTTTGAGTGGTTGAATAACTGATAATGTATCATATTATTTTTCAGTCTCATAAAGATCATCAAAGTATCATTTATAATCATTAATACCACAATAATTTTGAATATATGAGTTAATATATTTCATATCATATCCCGGTCTATTATTAATGAGTTTTCACGATTTAGCTTTTTTATCAATAATAATAGAAATAGTGATACTTGACATATTTGGTTATATAGTATTTAATAATTATTGACCTATTTGATTTTTGGTTTGATGTATATATTTAAAACCAGATTCAATTTTTGTATATTCGAAATAAGTTATATCGTAAAGAATTATAATAATATATAAATCAAAAATCAGCTGAATATAATGAGACAAAAAAGCTTTTTACAGATTTAACGGATCTTAACTATAAACATGACCATAGAAAACATACATTTTATAAATACTGACTTGCATCTAATGGCCATGCTGATAAAAATGATACTGCGCTTTTAGATGTATATCAATCCGAAGAGATTCATTCTAAATATATAATTCAGGTGACAGGAAAAGATTATACAGTGATCGATCACCTTATCAAAGTTTATAGAATTTCTGATACTTATGAATATATTAATGAAAATCAATCCTTATACTTAATTATTGATATTGATACAAGACAAAAATCCAATTCATCTAATCCTCAACTTCCTTCTTTAGATAGTGAAAAAATTATCTGAGAAGATTTGATATCTTGAATTTTAGTTACTTATGCAGATGCATTAAGTCTTATTTCAGATTATATATCTTTCTTAAACTCTTTTGCATTAGCAAGTTCATCAAATACTACAGTTCTCATCAAAAGTAATGGGAATTTTGGATTGGGATTTTTAAAATTTTATTGTTCCACCATT